CTTCATTCTAAACTTTTCAGAGAATAGAGAAACCCTAGAACTCTCTTCTCTCTCTTTCCGGCGCCGTAGTACTCTCTCTCTGCCGTCTCTCTCTCCTTTTTCTTTCTCTCTCATCGCCGCATCCTCTCTCTCTTCACCATGTTCCGCCGTTCGTCTTCCCCGCCTTCTGGTGACCACCCTAGCCGCTCCCCGGAGCAGCCATCATCATCCGCCGGCGCGGTGGAGCAGCCGCGAGTCCACTACCTTCGGGATGGACCCGTAGCCGCTCCTTCCAGCTGCCCTACCCCGGTGTTTCACGTTGATGAGGAGCCAGAGTCCTCCCGGAGCCATGCGCCGCTGCAACATCACCCTCGGAGCTCGATCAACCCGGCGTGGTTAGCCGCCGTGGAGCACCTCGCCTCCTTCTCTTCTCCTTACCTCCCCTTGCCACCTCCTTCATCACCTAGGCCAAGGTGAGGATGAATCTGTGCTTGAATATCGTGAACTCTGCTTTCCTGAATGCATAGTTTGGGGTTAAACCAAGCATAACCTACTTTCTGCTTTAGAACTGAGTCCCAGCTAGGTCATAATAGGTTACTGTTTGTTCTGTGAATCGCCTAGATGTGTTTAGGGTTTTGAAACTGAAGTTGCAGGAGACTTAAAACGAACCTTTACTTGTGCTTGAAACACTTTGCTTGTTTGATTGCTGTTTGGATCTCTTCTGTGATTGTGTGATCGCCTAGAACTTGTAAAGAGGATAGGAACTTAATATGGTATTGCGTAAAATCATTATTGAGACTATGTGTTGTGAAATGTCTGAGATGAGAGTTGAGATCATAAGGCAAAGGAGCCGTGGTCGATATACTTGAGTGGAGGACTATTGTTTGGGGTCCGAGATGGATGGTTGAGATTTGCAATGCCTGGGGCTGCAATCGATACACTGAAGTTGAGGATAGTCGCTGAGCCACGTGGGCAATATGCGAGAGGGTACTGAGGGACCTGACATCACATGGGGCTGTTTAAAAGGGTTCAGCGTATACTCATGTGGTATGGGAGTAATGGCTATACGTAGCGCTCTCAAGGCATGGCCGACGGGCTAGTCGTGTAGCGACTATAAATTTACGGAGGATGCAACCCAAGTGCCACGGTGTAAGTCATCATTGTGTGGTCTGGGTATTCGCAGTGGCGTTACCTGTGACGCTAGGATATTGTGTGAAGTCTTTAGGACTTTCTATGGTGCTGTTTTAGGCTTGAACTTAGCGTTGTTAAGTTATGGTGCATTGATAGGATAGTGTAGGTTCATTCTCCTGGATAATCTAAATTACTCACCCCTCCAAGTTCCCCTATCTTCTCTCTCTCGATCCCCTCTAGCAGGTTAGGTGAGTCAGGATGCTCAGTATTGTATATGGATGTGGAGTTGTTTGTTAAGCAAGGCGCCTTCGGTTTCTGGGACTTGTAAAGTGGATAATGCGTTTGGCTTATGGCGCAGACGGTTATCTTGACATTGCCGGTTCGGTTTTATTGACCGGGATCGGGTGTCACAAGTTTGGTATTAGAGCTAAGGTTAAGACTCTTCAGCTTTGTTCTGAAGGGTCAGTCCTAAAATTTTTTAGTGTTTGCGAAACCTTTGTGCACACTTGGCTTGCTTTACAACTGTTATGACTCACACCTATGCATACTTGACATCTGACTCTTAGCTTTTTCTTTCCCGTGCCAAACAGGGCTCATACCCGCGAGACAGCCCGGAAACGGACCACTCCGATCCACATGGTTCCTGCTAGACTCGCCCGACCCGCTCGGATGCCCACTCAGTAGGAGGTGAACGCCTATGCTGCGCTAGCGACTGATGTGCTCGAAGCAGTACAAGCCCGGGGCACATGTCGATCCTCTTCTGGTAGAGTGATGGCCCAACAGGCCCAGCCAACACGTAAGCGCGGACGCCCCCATAAGAACCTCGTGCCATATGTTAGGCCGGATGTTCAGCCGTCTTACCCCCGAACAACCCAGGGTGGACGTTCTGTGGAGCAGTACAAAAGAGCCTTCTTTCGGGACCTGAATGAGAGTGGCAGAGAAATCTGTTGTACTCTTCATGCTGCAATAGCATTCCGAGAAGGGCTGAGACCGGAAATCCGCAGGAGTGTACCTTATCCTGAGGAAGACGGACTCGTTCGAGGCATCAGCCAAGTCACTAACCTGGCTCGGTTGGTGGAGCAGGATATCGAGGAGGAACGGAGGCAGCAGGAAGAGGGTGACTATTAGTCAGACCCGTCCTAATGCGAGGTCCCCGGCGACGATGACTTCGACCCGAGACGTGGCTAGGAGAAGCTGCTTGAAGACTATCTAGATTAGGGCTGCGCTTTTGGGATATTGGAGGGGGAATTCATTTTTACATTTTAGAAATTAACTTAGTTTTTAATTTATGCATTAGATTTAAGAGCCCCATTCTATGTTGATTGATTGCTTGATTTAATTCAATAAAAGGTTTTGCTTACTTAGAAATGAATGCTTCCCGAGTCTTCCGTTCTATGAACATTTCGATTTAGCCTTCTTTGGTATGACTTTCAAGTCTTCCTCATCGCCTTAAGCCGGCCGTGGAGGTTCATGCCTTAGAATTCGGGACGAATTCTCGTTAAGAGAGAGAGAATTATAACGACCCGGTTCTCACAAACCAGGTCCGTTTGGAAAATTCAATCCCAACTAAGACGGTTTAAGCCCATTTCCTATTTCTCGATATTTCCTTTTTCCTTCGAGAGATAATTAATTCCTGGTTTAGATAAATATTATATTTTTAATGTGATATTAATGAACCTTTTCCTAAATGAATTGGGAATATTCTTATTCATAATTATCTTTTCCTTTTTCGTGGTTATCTTTACTTTTTACCCAAGTCTCCCATTGGGTATAAATAGAGAGCCCTTCCCATTCTTTATCTTCATTCTAAACTTTCCAGAGAACAGAGAAACCCTAGAACTCTCTTCTCTCTCTTTCCGGCGCCGTAGTACTCTCTCTCCGCCGTCTCTCTCTCCTCTTTCTTTCTCTCTCATCGCTGCATCCTCTCTCTCTTCACCATGTCCCGCCGTTCGTCTTCCCCGCCTTCTGGTGACCGCCCTAGCCGCTCCCCGGAGCAGCCATCAACGTCTCCCGGCACGGTGGAGCAGCCGTGAGTCCACTAACTTCAGGATGGACCCGTAGCCGCCCCTTCCAGCTGCCCTGCCCTGGTGTTTCACGTTGATGAGGAGCCGGAGTCCTCCCGGAGCTATGCGCCGCCATAACATCACCCTCGGAGCTCGATCAACCCGACGTGGTTAGCCGCCGTGGAGCACCTTGCCTCCTTCTCTTCTCCTTACCTCCCCTTGCCACCTCCTTCGCCACCTAGGCCAAGGTGAGGATGAATTTGTGCTTGAATATCGTGAACTCTGCTTTCCTGAATGCATAGTTTGGGGTTAAACCAAACATAACCTACTTTATGCTTTAGAACTGAGTCCCAGCTAGGTCATAATATGTTGCTGTTTGTTCTGTGAATCGCCTAGATGTGTTTAGGGTTTTGAAACTGAAGTTGCAGGAGACTTAAAACGAACTTTTACTTGTGCTTGAAACACTTTGCTTGTTTGATTGCTGTTTGTATCTCTTCTGTGATTGTGTGATCGTCTAGAACTTGTAAAGAGGATAGGAACTTAATACGGTATTGCGTGAAATCATTATTGAGACTATGTGTTGTGAAATGTCTGAGATGAGAGTTGAGATCATAAGGCAAAGGAGCCGTGGTCGATATACTTGAGTGGAGGACTATTGTTTGGGGTCTGAGATGGATGGTTGAGATTTGCAATGCCTGGGGCTGCAATCGATACACTGAAGTTGAGGATAGTCGCTGAGCCACGTGGGCAATATGCGAGGGGGTACTGAGGGACCTGACATCACATGGGGCTGTTCAAAAGAGTTCAGCGTATACTCATATGGTATGGGAGTAATGGCTATACGTAGCGCTCTCAAGGCATGGCCGACGGGCTAGTCGTGTAGCGACTATAAATTTACGGAGGATGCAACCCAAGTGCCACGGTGTAAGTCATCATTGTGTGGTCCGGGTATTCGCAGTGGCGTTACCTGTGACGCTAGAATATTGTGTGAAGTCTTTAGGACTTTCTATGGTGCTGTTTTAGGCTTGAACTTAGCGTTGTTAAGTTGTGGTGCATTGATAGGATAGTGTAGGTTCATTCTCCTGGATAATCTAAATTACTCACCCCTCCAAGTTCCCCTATCTTCTCTCTCGATCCCCTCTAGCAGGTTAGGTGAGTCATGATGCTCAGTATTGCATATAGATGTAGAGTTGTTTGTTAAGCAATGCGCCTTCGGTTTCTGGGACTTGTAAAGTGGATAATGCGTTTGGCTTATGGCGTAAACGGTTATTTTGACATTGCCGATTCGGTTTTATTGACCGAGATCGGGTGTCACAAAGAATCCTTCTTCAAATGACAGAGAAAAATATGTACTGCTTAATATATCAACCGGGAATAATTTATTTTTTATATGATAATTGTGACATGTTTAACTGTTTTTATGTAAATTTTAAATACAAACGCAAATGTACAAACGGAAGGCTGCTAGAGAAAGCCAATCGAATAAAATATTTGATTCTCAAGTTGTTGACAAATGTAAAACACAACTAATTTATTAACAAAGGGTCTAAGTAGTATTAAGTAGTAACGGCGGCTAGAATCTGAAGGGAATATAGACGATAACCGCGTATAGTGATCTCACGCTCAAACGTTCTCATGGGGTCAACAATGGTTAACGGCCCAGTCTTGTTTGGTTAAACAAATAGGCAATATTTTCTTTATCAAATTGAAACCAAATAAATAAACTATACGTGAAAAAAAAACATAAACAATTAGACAAAAAAATGTCTTTAGAAGGAGTTCACGTACGGTGAACCTCACCACCATTATAAATACATTCACTCTTCATTTCTCTCTTCTCCATTATCCTCTCAAACTCTCTCTCTCTCTCTCTCTCTCTCTCTCTCTCTCTCCTCTCTCTCTCTCTCTCTCTTCTCTCTCTCTCTCTCTCTCTCTCTCTCTCTCTCACACACACACACACACACTTTCCGATCAAATGGTTGAACAGAAGAAGTACTTATTGTTTCTTGGGGTGCCGGATTCGGAGTTTGCGAAGAAGACGTACGGAGGATACCATAACGTGTTTGTTTCTTTGCTTGGCGACGAAGGAGACCAATGGGACTCCTACAGAGTCGTCGATGGTGAGTTTCCCGATGAGAAGGATCTTGAGAAGTACGATGGATTTGTCATCAGTGGAAGCTCTCATGATGCCTTTCAGGACACTGATTGGATCTTGAAGCTCTGTGATATTATCAAGAAACTCGATGAGATGAAGAAGAAAGTCCTCGGTATCTGCTTTGGCCACCAGGTATATATATTAATTTTCCTCATATCAAAAGTCTTTTTGTTTTTATGTTTGAATATTTGGATAAACCTAAATTGAAATGAATGTTTGTGTGTAAATTAATCGTTAATAGCCATATGCTCTTTCTTTGAATGGTTCTTATTTATATATTAACATCTTATCTTGATTGGATTTTTTCTTATTATGCGTAAGAATATACAATCATATAATGATGATAGAAAACTAGATAGCTTCTTTGAATGGTTCTTGATTGGAGTTTTAAACGTATGGAGAAACGATCATATAGATTTTTTTTGTCCTCTTTTGATAAACAATTAAGTGGTTCTTGCGTCGATCTTGCAGTTGAAAACCTGATATGGACCTTCATATTTCGTATAAGTAACATATATAATTAATCTATTATTATTTACATACTAATATTATGTTTGGATGATATTCAGCTAATAGCAAGAGTCAAGGGAGGAAAAGTAGGGAGAGCAAGGAAAGGACCTGAGCTCTGCCTCGGGAACATAACCATCGTGCAGGAGGCAGCAGCGCCGGAAAACTACTTCGGCGAGGAAGTTCCGGCTAACCTGAGGATCATAAAATGTCATCAGGACGAAGTTTTGGAGCTACCGGAAAATGCAAAAGTGTTAGCGTATTCGAGTATGTATGAGATAGAGATGTATTCAATCGAAGATAACTTCCTCTGCATTCAGGGACATCCTGAGTATAACCGTGACATCTTGATCGATATTCTCGACCGTGTTCACGCCGGAGGTTACATTAAGGTTTCTAATTTCTTACTCTCAATAATCAGTTTATTTCCACTATATACATAATATATATACCAGAAATATTCATTTTATCGTCTACAACACATGCCACTCCAAAATTTGAATCCGAGTTATGGTACACTAGTATATCCTAGTAGCTTACAAACCTCAGTCGAATAAACGGAGCACTTATCTATATATAACAGACACAAATGTTTCCAAAATGAATAGCATAAACTAGTTTACATTATTTCATTTCAATGGTTTAATTTCACTTCTAGAACTTCTAATCTCCTATAAATAAAATTTTGGACTTTTATTCGATTTCGTTTTATAACTTAATTAAAATTACTGACCAGACATAAAACTCTTATATGACATATATGACCAATTTGGATTTTTATTAGAACATAATTTTTGTGTGGTGTTTACATTAAGTTTTAATAGAGAAGATCCAATTTTGTTTGTTTGAGTAAGAATTTATCTTAGAAATTAAATATAGTCTTGACCAAAGGGTAAACAAGTCTATTGGACATTTTTGTTATAGTGTGCATTGCATTGTTAAATAGTAAATACTTACTGACTGAATAATAAAAATGCAGGATGACTTTGTTGAAACGTCGAAGGCAACATTAGAGAAGAATGAAGCAGACAGAGAGTTTTGGCAGAAAATTTGCAAGAACTTTCTCAAAGGTCAACCCTCGTAAATAAATTTGACTCAGAAATCTGAAATCCAATTGGGCTCACAAATATTATATAACCACTTTGGTTTATTTATTCGAACACCATGTATACACTTTATATTTTTATCTTTACGTTCTAACATATTGATGTGTAACGTGTTGTATTCATAATAATCAAATAAAAGCTTTATGCTCACTATATTTATTGTGAACTGTTGTTAGTTGTGAATATGCGACCAAGTTAAGTGGTTATGAAATTTTATGAAAACTCAGATGGACTTTTAGAGTGTAAAAGAGAATAAAGGAACGAAGGTGAATATCTTTAATTTAAGGTTTCGAACTTTTATTTTGGTGAAGAATTACAAACAAACCTTACATTTTTTATATGAGCTTTTAGTCAGTTACATCAATCTGTTCATTATCATTAGCAATACAGACTAATTTTAAGTTCATTAAAATAAAAGCAACATCACAAAAGAATGAAGGAATTGAAAATGTCGAATCACAATTTCGAGCCATCTTTAGTTTATAACTTAGTTTACAAATGTCAAGTTAGCAACAAATAATAATCTTAAAATCAAATGGTCTATAAAACTGATCATTCAAAAGAAGATTTGAATACTTGGCGAGATTGATAACTTTCAAAAGTCTATCTCCAATATCTCATGTGCATTTTAACTCAACCAATATGTAGTAACAAACTTAGGATAGGGTTTAAAGCCTATAAGAAACACTAAACCTTATCCTAAATCATGCAAAAATCTCAATTTTAAAGTTGATTTTACAATTATAGTCGGGATGAAGAACATATAAAATTGCAGAATGTGTAAGATCGGAAAACTTTTGTCGTTCTTGCTCGTCTTTTTTCCCAACAGAAGCACAGCAGTCATGCACTTGACCTAACTGTTGGATGCTGCTGTCGTTGTTGTCACTTTGGTCGTTGTCGTCGTTATCGTCAATTTCCAGGTTACTTTTTGCCGATTTTATCCCGAAAGTGAAATTTAAACAAGTTTTGATTTTTTTGTTTGTGTTTTAAGAATAGCAAATCAGAAATGTTAATGTTGGAATTAGAACATTTTTAGTGTCCTTGTCATTTTCGATAAATAACCTTAATTATGTGGCCTTGCCCAAAAAGAAAAACTTAATTATGTGGCAAATGTGAAAATTTCTTTTCTTTGCATATCACTCATCACACCTCTCTAAACCTTTAAAAACCAATTCTAAATCAACTCTTAATATTCGGCCGAAGCTAATGATATTTTATATTTTTGTTAAAGGAAGCTAATGAGATCTTATGTCATTCTATTATTTCAACACCTTTCAACAAAATCGCAATAGGGCAAATCTGGATTTAAGTTGGAACAAAAAGATTATAAAAGCCTATTCAGTTTGTATATTTTTTAAATAAATTTAAATGCTTTCTAAAATATAGATATATGAAAAGAAAATGTTTTTATTTTTATTTTAGTCTGCTAAATTTGTGCCAGTAAAAAACAAAATTTAAGCAAAGATTATTAAAACAACATAATAAAATACTAACATATTATTTAATTAAAAAAGGTTCTTTTTTCCTTATATAAACGGTTAATTTTTAAAAACAAACACAAATTAAGTTCTAATCAAATATATATACATGCCCCTAAATGGAAAGCGTTTTCTATTAAAAAAACATTAAATAATACATATTTAGTCATTTACGTGTAATCAGTTAGTCAAAACTGCATGAAGATATTTCCATTAGTCATATTATAAACGTATGTTAATCAAAATCTAATCAATAAAAAACGATATTCGTCAATTTATGGTATTTAAATCTGTATATTTGTTATTTTTTGGTAATTAACAGCTACATTCTAATCCAATATAAAGATATTCTGTAAGTATGTTAGTTGCAAAATCAGAACTAAAAGGCAACAAAATCTCCAGCTGGCGTGTCTGATCATTTTTTCCTTCTCCATACTCTTTAAAACACAAACCTTCTTCTCTTGTTTGTAAATTATCATCAATCTCTCAAACAAACAAAACGAAAATGGTTGTGCAAAAGAGATTCGCTCTGTTTCTAGCGACGTGTGATTCGGCGCTCGTGAAAAAGGCGTACGGAGGTTATTTCAACGTGTTCGTGTCGACGTTCGGCGAAGACGGAGAGCAATGGGATCTCTTCCGAGTGGTCGACGGAGAGTTTCCGGAGGAGAAAGATCTGGACAAGTACGAAGGATTCATCATCAGCGGGAGCCTCCATGATGCTTTTGGAGACGAAGATTGGATCCTTAAGCTTTGTTCTCTTTGCCAAAAACTCGACGACATGAAGAAGAAGGTTCTCGGAATCTGCTTCGGCCACCAGGTTCTCGGATTCGTTTCTTTGATTACATTTTGATGGATGGTTTGATCTGATCCGTTGGATCATAAATAACTAGGGTTTTTCAAAAAAACCTAATTAAAAGATATATACAGATTTTTGCCGAGATTCAAGACTATGCATTTGGAAATCAAATTAAACAAATTGTTTGCAACATTTGAAAGACTTTATTGTTTTTTTAACAGATTGAAGAAATCAATCGGAAAATAGTCTTGATCATACACTAACGTACAATTTGCAAATAAACTTTAGGGTTTCAATCTAAATTAGGGCTTTTCAAAAACTTCATCCTAAATAAAAAAACATAAGATTTGACTAGTATATCAATTTAATAGCAGAATATCGGAATAATTGAATAATAAACTAACATAATTAATAGGATGAGTAAATTAAAAACCGAATAAACTCAAAACGTTCAAAAGCTAGTATCTATTAGATAAATAGATTTTTCTCTAAACTAGTTATAGATTAAAGAACAGTCTGTTAATTTTTAGTTTTTTATCATTTCGTACTTAAATGTTGTGAATGATACGAATTTAATAGAATCACATTTTCACATTACATACCATTTAACCCCACCCCATTCAACACTCTTTACACTCCATTTGCAATTTGAACATTTACAATGGAAGCTGATATTTGTATTGAACGTAATCAAGACATGGCAAAAAGGAATCTGAAATAGATTTAACCGGAGATAATTACCGAAATGATTTTTTTTTTTGTAAACCATTAATGTTTGCAACCGTTTTATGCGAAAGATTCGTGATGAATTAAATGCTTTTTCTCTTTCTGTTGTTGAAAGCAGATATTAAATAGAATAAAGGGAGGGAAAATCGGAAGAGCGAGTAGAGGCCTTGACATGGGACTAAGAAGCATAACAATCGCTAAAGACGCGGTGAAACCTGGTGGCTACTTCGGAGACGAGGTTCCTAAATCTTTAGCCATTATAAAATGCCATCAAGACGAAGTCTTTGAGCTCCCTGAATCAGCCACGTTGCTTGCTTATTCAGACAAATGCAACGTAGAGATGGCTTCCATTGGAGATCACTTCCTCTGCATCCAAGGCCATCCTGAGTACAACAAAGAGATTCTCTTCGAGATCATCGATCGTCTCGTCAATATGAAGTTGATGGAGGTTAAGTCTTGCTTCTTATGTTTGTGCATTGTCTTTGATGTTGCAAGTTCGAAGCTCTTAAATGTTTCTTTTGTTTTGTATTTCAGCAAGATTTTGCGGATAAGGCTAAAGAAACGATGGAGAACGCTGAGCCAGATAGGAAGCAATGGCAGACTCTCTGCAAAAACTTTCTCAAAGGAAGATCCGAGCAAATTTGAATGTCTATTGAATTGGAGAAACAACTTTAGAAAAAGCAATTTCTATGGAATATTCATAAATTATTTATATTAGAATAGTTTGGGCATTAGCAAGCATATGTATGATGAATACCCAAATTAGCTTATCCTTTTCAGGGCAAAACAAAGAATTGAATCTTTTGAGTTGATGATGTCTGTAGAATTACATAAAAACAACTTTAAAACAAATTTCTATGGAATATTCAGAATGTTTCTATCCTTTTTCTAGTTATTATAAGAAAAAGAGCAAACTACAAATAATCTTTTTATATTACAATATTTTGGGCGTTAACAAGAACAGGATGTGAACACTCAAGTAACTATTTTTTTAGAACAAAACCAACAAATTAATGAATTTTTTGAGTTGATGTGTTCTTTGATGTCTATAGAATTGGATAAAAATAACTTTACAACAAATTTCTATGGAATATTCAGAATGTTTCTATCTATTTTCTAATTATAAAAGAAAAAGGGTAAATCACAAATAATCATTAATATTACAATATTTTGGGTGGTTAACATGAACATCCAAGTAACTATCCCTTTCATAACAACACAACAAAATCAAATCTTAGAGTTGATGTGCTCTTTGATGTCTATAATAAAAGAACTTTAAAACAATTTCTATGGAATATTCAGATTGTTTTCTAATTATATAATAAGAAAAGAGCAAAAATCACAAATTATCATTTATATTACAATCTTATAAATCCTTTTCAGAACGAAAACAAAAAAAAAAATGAATCTTTGAGTTGATATTTGTGTTCTTTAACTTCTTAGAGATTGTGTACAAGTGTAAAAAAAAAAAAAACTTGCGTTGGCGAATGGTGATGGACCTTCAGCAATCAGCAGAGAAATCTGGTTCAGGAGGTTTCTGGAACTTGACCAATTCTTTAGTAGGTTGCTGCGACAAAGCCGACTTCTTGGTCCGGTTCTTGTGAACGCTACGAAGTGCGTTCGCTGCGAACTTCGAAGCCAAGAACGTCGCTCTTATACTATACGGACTTCCTCCGGCGATAACCGATGAAGCCTCTTCTTCTTCTTCTTCCTCTTCTTTTCTAAGCTGCTCCATCTTCTTCCTCTTTGTGTACCGTCTCCACGCGGCTTGGATGAAGCAAGCGGCCCAAGTCCTCCATTGCTGCGAGTAGAATCTGAAAGTGTGTTGCACTTGTCTGCTATGTAGTCTCCTGAACTGGCTCGCCACGAACTTAAGCTCGTCGGCTATCAAAGCGAATGCTTCTACTTCGGTCAAAGCCTTGACGGTTCTTGTTGAGGACGGGAGGTTAGAACCGGATTTGGGATCTAGCGCCCATGTTAGAAGCTCGTCGCCGCAGAAATCTCCTTCTTTGAGTAGACTCCGGTTGTAGAATCCGCTTCTCCCACCGTCCGTGGTCACACTCTCGAGGCGACCACGGATGATGAAGAGCATCTCGTTCACAGGATCTCCCTCACGAACTAGGTAAGACTTCTCAGTGAATAAACATGGCTTGAGCCTCTCACAGATTGCATCTAGCAGTCTCTCATCCATATTCTCAAACAACGGAACCTTTTTTCAAGAAAAAGAAAATGTATTCAAGAAACTTTCAAGAAGATGATGTTAATGAAGTGAATGTATTCAAGAAACTTTCAAGAAGATGATGTTGATCAAGTGAATGTATTCAAGAAAGTTTCAAGAAGATGTTAATGGTGTGAACGAAGACAGGGAACAAACTTACTCTTCGGACTAAGGCGAGACAGAGATGACGTTTGATGTCTCTTCTAAGATCCTTCGGGAGGTTCGAAACAAGATTCTCCTCATCGACTCCACGAGTCTCCAGCCACTTGTACTGGTCATATCGCCTGACACGTTCACGAAGTTCCGGTGGAAGCATTCGATGATGCATCCACTGTTCTGAGTCGCGTCTCTTGACTCGCATTTCTTCTAACCGGATAGTAAGCGATTGAAGATAAGTCTGTCACAGATAAGTCAAAAACAACCAACATCATTACACGTTTCTTGATACATAAAAAACCGAAACAAGATCTTATTTTTTTTATATACCTGCATGTTTCCAATGAGAAGAGCAAAGAGTAGAAGCCCTGCAATAGCAAGTGTTATGGAGAATATAACCTCTCCAGGGTAAGTGCTAGTTTCAAGCCCTTGACCAAGTGTACTGCAAAACAAGAATCAAAAGGTTACTAATGCCTATTTGCTAATGACACTATATAGCAGATGGATTTTTGCTTCTTTACCTAAGATTCTGCAATCCCCACCACAAGCAGAAGAAGTACTTAGAGACAAAGTTCTTAGATGAGACGATGCCAGAGGAGAGAGCTCTCAAGTAGATACCAAAATCAAAGGGAGGCTCTTCGCCATCAGTGACATTGACAGCGCATTTTTGCTGAAGAACCATTTCTTTAACAGTGTCCCAAGCAGCATAACCTTTCATGTTCTGGTTACCACAAAACAAGTAGTTTCTAGTACAGTCATCGTTTTCCTTGCAAGCTTTACTCCAGCAATCGTTATTTCGTTCTAAGGCAAGCAAATACCACAAAGCCCCAACAATCTGCATTCACAGAGACACTTAATGAGAAACATATTATTGCCTCAAAGAAACAAGAAACATATAAAGAAAATGGTACTGACATGACTTGCAAGCATGTAAAGTAGCAAGTAGTAAGCTGCACCAGCCCAAGCAGTTTCAGCGAATACGCCTGCTGTTCTCTTCAGCTCTGAGCTTAAAGGATACATACGAAGAAACCGTGGAATGTACTGAACTAAGACGATATATCGAAGCGCTTGCTTTGTTGCTAGAACATTCGCACCCCTCGAAGTATAAAGGAATCTCCAAACTATAATCTGAAAAAAACAAACAATAGACAACATAAACCACAAAGAAAAGCAAATCTTGAAACTGAGAGAAGTTTGCAAAGCAAATCTTGAAAGTACCTGTGGAACGGGAAGCACGGAGAGTAAGTCAATGATGAAGTACTGTTGCAAGTATCGTTTAGCTATCTGCGCAGGGTCTATCACGAGCTCTCCTCTACCGAAAACCCGAGACGAAGGAGCAACGTACGATGTTCTAAACCGGAGAGCCATGTGAAGGAGATAAAACGAATCTATGACCGTCCTTATCGTCGTAGCTACGATCGCCAGTTTCCGGTCTATACCGACGCATTTGGCTTTATCGTTGATAAACGGAAGGTACAAGAAGAGAGGGTCGACGGATACAGCGAGGATGCAAGAAGCCACAAAGAGCTTGTTGCAGAGCAGAAGAAACTTGTCCTGTGGATCAAATATCTTCTTCTCCGATACTTTAAGATCCTCTGGAAACACAGCTCGAGAGACACCGAGCCCTATCGATCTCCCTATAGACCAAAGACCTTCGGATCCTTTTCTAAAACCTTTCTTGAATGATCCAGAGGATGTTTTACTTCCTTGAGCAAAACGTTTTGGTCCTTGTATATTTAATGTGCATTTGTTCAGACCCGTATCAGAACTCTGCGAGAATCTTGAGTCCATACTATCTAACCTGTTAAAGATCAAGAAAAACTCTGTTTTTACGTCTTGTAATTATTATTGTTAATAATAATAATGATAAGCACCTCACAAACTTCTCGCGTTGGCCACTGATTACTTGAGATTTGACTCCTTTTGCGCCACAATCGAACATACTCTTCTCCAATGATTCAACTCATGAATCCCTAACCTATCATCAAGATGAACACTTTTAGTAATAGTTACCAAAACCCACCTCAAAAAAGGAAATCAATTTGCACAAAGAAGACGATGTTCTGTAGAAGTTTGTTTTCGAAATCAATGGAGTAACCAGATTGGAATCCGAAATTAGGTTACTTGAGCTAGTTGAATCCATCTATCATTGACCCGGATTCAAAAAGAGTGATAAGTTTCAAGAAAACCCCAAAACTAAAACTCGATTAACTTCAAGGAAACTATAAGCTACACTAAAATGGACCAAACTCATCTCTGAAACAGACAAAACCGAAATCCAAATTCGAACAGTTGCAATCTCCAATCAAGGTCATTGCACAGTATTAGCAAGTGAGATCGGTAGGAACATGAAGAAGAAGGAAGAAGAGGAACTTACTGTCGAATCTGACAACGATGAAGAAGAAGAAGAAGTAGAAACGGAAGCAGAAGCAGAAGAAGAGAGAGTTGTAAAAAAAAAAAAAACGGGCAAGAGAAAGAAGGAAGAAAGTGAACGTGTCTTCTGTCCAAATATTGACTTTCTTCTTCTTGCTGTCCGGGTCGGGTCCACCCGCTTCCTCTGCTGTCTACTGTTCTCATTATTATTTATAAAATATATCGAAAAGTAATTAAATATCTATACTATTTAATCATTATTATTTATAGAAATATATCGGAAACAACAAATTGTATGTGAAGAGACTTTAATACTAGTATACTTTAACAATCAATCTTTGCTAATTCAATAATTTTTAAAACTTTAATTTGATATAGATTTAGGTACCAAGATATAACTGACACATTTTAATCTGTGTAAAAGTATAAATGTTGACAAGAACAAAAAATATTGTAAAATTAATTATTAGTAAATCCCATTAATATTATCTAAAACATAGGTTTTGCATAACAAAAGGTTTTAGAGAGGCTTTTAGGCCCAAGCGAGCCCAATGATGGTCACAAAGACCCAGAAGATGCCGTTTCCAGCAACCAACTCAGCAGCAGTGTTGGGAGCTGGTGCAGGAGCCATACGGGGAGTAGGAGGTGCCGGAGCCATCGGGGGAGTAGGAGTCGCCGGAGAAGCTGGAGAAGTAGGTGGCTGTGAAGGAGGAGTCGGTGGAGTAGCGCCGGGTGCGGGTGCGGGTTTGGGCATGGGCGGGTGGTTAGGTGATTGGACCACGAGATCAAGTTTCTCACCTTTACCGCAATTACCTGGAGCTCCACTGATGAAGTAGTGATGACCTGAGACTTCAAGTTTCGCGATGGCTCCGGGACCTCCGGTGACCCCTTTGTATGTTTTCAGTGGCTTTGATGTGTCGCAGCTTTCGTATTGCTCTTTTGTCACTCCTAACACCGAATCGTTCTTATTATCGTAGTAAAACTCTGTCACATGCAAAAATAATGCTTAGATCTTGTTTTTGGTTAAAAACGGAAAAATAACCCAAAACTAATATTAGTTTTTCTTTGATAAAGAAAAAAAATACAAACA